TTTTTCTTTTCACTTGTATTCAAAGTTTTCCACTTTAAAAGCAATTGTGATGGGCCAGCTTGCTGACAGCAATATTCAGGCAGCAAGCGTATCCCCTCAGTCCACTTCCATTCATACAGGGCAGGGTTACACAGGTGCAGAACTAATGGGCTATTTTACCAATAGGCAATGTATTAGTCCATGTTGAGTTGCTATAAAGGAATAGCTGAGGCTTGGTAACTTATAAAGAAAACAGGTTTATTTGGCTCATAGTCCTGTAGGCTGTGCAAGCATGGCACCTGCATCTGCTCAGCTTCTGGTGAGAGCCTCAGGGAGCTTCTAATCATGGAAGAAAGCAAAGGGGAGCCAGCACATCACAGGATGAGAGGGAGCAAGAGACAGACGTGACAGGTGCCAGACTCCTTTAAGCAACCAGCCCTTGAGTGAACTAATAGAGGAAGGACTCATTCACTACTGTGGGGAGGGCAGTGAGCCATTCATGAAGGTTCTTCTCCCACGACCCAAACACCTTCACCAGGCCCATCTCCAATATGAGATCCTATTTCAATATGAAATTTGGAGGGACACACATCCAAACCATATCAGGCAATGTAGCTGCATATACGGTTAGCCTCTATTTTGGCAGGTGGGGCAAAGCACAACCCACATCCATGAGGTCTATAAGAAAATTGACAGAAAAGTCTAAACACATAGTCTCAGTTTCTGGCTTAGGAGTCGTCACTGCTTCCAGCACTCGTAGTTGTAGCCCCGATCCTGTGGCCACTGCACCAGGTGGCAGGTGGAGAGGAGGGGAGAGTTGAGGTAACGTGGGGAAGAAAGACAAAAATGGCAGTCACTGGCTGGGCACAGTGGCTCACGCTGCCTGTAATCTCACCACTTAAGGGAGGCCAAGGCGAGTAGATCACCTGAGGTCATGAGTTTGAGACCAGCCTGACCAACATAGTGAAACCCTGTCTCAGCTCAAAATATCAAAATTAGCTGGGTGAGGTGGCGGGGGCCTGTAGTCTCAGGTGCTTGAGAGGCAGAGGCAGGGGAATCACTTGAACCCGGAAGGCAGAGATTGCAGTGAGCCGAGATCGTGCCATTGCACTACAGCCTGGGCGACAGAGCTAGACTGTGTCTCAAAAAAACCCAACAACAACAACAAAATGAAAGTCATTATACAAGCATTCTCCCCACCCCCTTGTCACCAGATTCACTAGAAAAATGGAGGAAAGTCCAGTGGGGACACTCCTTTAGCCCACTCGTGTGGAGTGGGGGCACACACTGGTGAAGGCGTTGAAGCCAGCCCTTCATGCCTTTATCTCCCCCCATTTTAGACAATCAATATTTCAGTTGACTGTTCCACTTCCCTATCAAATTATTACTCTAAGGAGGATATCTCGCTGCCCATTCGCAAAACATTATGCACTGAACGGCATGTTTCTTGGTCCAAGGAAGTGAGGCTTAGTGGCCCAAACTAGAATAATACCTTATTTCAGTTCTTTTATATTAATAGCACTTTGGGCATTTGCAGCCTCCACCAGGTAAGCAAAAGACAATCCACAGTCAGTTTCTGTTCCCGTGGAGACTCACCTGTACCCCCCAGGACCCTGCCCTCAGTCTCACTTTCCAAGAATGTTCAGGGCCTCCCCATCAGGGAATCTGCCTCATAACCATAGGCAGTCTGTGTCTCTCCCGCTGGCAGACAGAACAGCTCTTATTGGCATTATGCACCTGAGAGACAGCAAGAGGAACGTGTTTCAATTCAGCCCATCTCTGCATCGCTGTGGTTCCCCCATATCCACTTATTTTACTTCGTGGACCCTGGTGACCACCTCAAGGGAGTACACAGGGGTATCTCTTGCTGATTACAGTCACTTTCCAAACCTGAGGGTGGGTTCTACTGACCGCTATGGGCATGTCCTATTTTAATGCACTCCTCAAGTACCCCTAGAGATTTCCATAGGGTCGGTCCCCATATGGACATCCCTTCAATAGGCCAGTTTTCCATTACTCTTGGAAACAATGGAAAATGTAGAGACGAATATCCAAATTTAATACGCTTTATTTGGAAAACAAGAATTGCAATTCCTGGCATACACAAAGACCAAGTTGTCTTTGGTATGTCCAAAGAACAAAGAGAAGTTTAAAGGTTTTTTTAAAAGGAGAAATACTAAGTATTTTTTTTTTCCAGAAAGTTCATTGGCACTGTACAAATCGAAGAAGTGGCATGCTCTGACTGGTGAGTGACTGCAGTGGGTCAAGCTGGTCTTAGAGCAGCAGCAGGTTGTGTCAATAGATATTAGATAGAACTATTAATAGGTTCAGCTTACAGCTGCCAGGCTTACAGAAAATTGCAGTTCAGGGGTAATACACTGATTTTTTCCCCATGGCCTCTTGACTGTTTTAGTTGGGTATGACAAGAATGACCCAATTTGTGCGATCAACTTTCACATTCTCCTTCCCAACTCTATGACTGGGATGTTGACGACTGTCCATGAGCCAGAAAAAAACCCAAGTACAGGGGCTTTTGCTGCTGTTCAAATCTTCCATCAACGCTAGGAAAACAGCATGCAATCCAACCCACCCGGCCGATTTGCCTTTGCCTTCTTCCGTCAGAGGGGTGGCCTTCCAAATAGGATGTTGTCCATTCACCTAGGAATGACAGTCTATAAACTAAGTAGCTCTTGGTCAGTCAGTAAAGAGCTGTGTATAGGGAAGTGTCCAAGTGATCATAGAATCCAGCAGCTCCTCACCCAGTTCCAGAGTCAGTCTGAGGGGAACAGAGGCTCCCTGCTCATGAGTGTCTCCTCTTTGCCTTCCTCAGGCACCAGGATCCCATGTCAACCATTTCCATTTTGTAGGCCAGGTGAGGTTGCTCACGCCTGTAATTCCAGCACTTTGGGAGGCCGAGGTGGGTGAATCACAAGGTCAAGAGATCAAGACCAACCTGGCCAACATGATGAAACCTCATCTCTACTAAAAATACAAAAATTAGCCAGGCATGGTGGCACATGCCTGTAATACCAGCTACTTGGGAGGCTGAGGCAGGAGAATCGCTTGAACCTGGGCGGCGGAGGTTGCAGTGAGCCGAGATCGCACCACTGCACTAAAATACATTTCCATTTTGTAATAGAACTCTTCTGGGACTGCCCTCCCCATTAGAGCTTTTCCAAGATTACTGAAGACATCACGAGTTTTTCAGGTTTCAAGATTACGTCTTTCAGTCACAGGGGGAGCTTCAGTTTGTGTTCCATCGCAAGCTAGTAAGTCCCTCTTAAATGGAAACTTTATGATCTAAAGGCCCAGTTCCCGGGAGGTGCTCACAGCCTTTTGCCATTAGCCCTAGTCAGTGTCCCACATAGGGCACAGAGAATGTGTCGTTACCTGCAATCTGGTTTCTAGTCTACACTGTGTGGTTCACCCTCGAGGGCCAAGGGAGCTAAAGTGCTTTAAGGACTTTGCTGCAGGCCCTGATGGCTCTGTGTTAATGCTGTCAGTCTTTCTGAAGTCCCTGTCCTCTCACTTCCTGCACCCAGCACACATTCCTGACCCCACACATTTCTCAGTGCCTGGGGCCTGGCACACATTTCTTTTCTTTTCTTTTTTTCCCCACAGAGTCTCACTCTGTCACCCAGACTGGAGTGCAGCGGCATAAAGCTCGGCTCACTGCAACCGCAACCTCCTGGATTCAAGCGATTCTTCTCCCTTAGCTTTCAGAGTAGCTGGAATTACAGGTGCCCGCCACCATGCCCAGCTAATTTTTGTATTTTTAACAGAGATGGGGTTTCACCATGTTGGCCAGGCTGGCCTCGAACTCCTGACCTCGTGATCCTGCCACCTCAGCCTCCCAAAGTGCTGGGACTACAGGCGTGAGCCACTGCGCCTGGCCCTGGCACACATTTCTGACCCTAGGTCAGTGTCTGGGGCCTGGCAGGTGCTTGGGGTGCTCCATCGCTCAAATCCAAGCCTGTGGAGAGGATGACATTTCATTCCCAGGTTTCTGGTGAGTCAAAAAACCTTCATTTCTATAGTGATACCCTCTTCTACCTACCATGTGCGGGATCAGGAGCTGACTGACCCCAAGAGTCTAGGAGTCGTGCCATTGACCTGAGTGCCTAGGCTCACCAGCTGGCACCCTTCAATACCACACATTGGGTCTGTCCTCACAGCAGCAGTGTGCTTAACTCGATGGGGAGGTAAGTAGCCCAAGGTCAGACAGTTGGACCTGGGTAGACACTAGACTTGGGGACAGGCTTTGGAAGCCACTCCCCTGACTCGATGGGGCCTCAGTACTAGAGCCCTCAAGGTTGGTCAGGGAGTGTTTGTGCCTTGACCATGCAAAGGGTGCCAGGCTGTGGCTAGGGATGCCCCTGGCTTTCCTCTCCCTCCTACCTACTCCTCAGCCTCTGCACTTGCCCGTCATGGCCTCTGTGTCCTTCATTCTGTCCACTCATGCACTCACTGGGTCCCTCCTTGGTGCCAGGCACCCACTACTGAGGGGTGCCAAGCCCCTGCCAGAGAAGCTTGGTGCTGGGTCACAGCAGCAAGGAGGCTGGAGGCAGTGGCATCAGAGCAGTGGTCAGTGAGGCCGCTGTTTGGGGAGGGAGTGGGAGCAGAAGCTAAGAGTGGACTGAAGTCCTTAAGCCAGGAAGTAGTTCAGGGTTTAACAAGAGGAGAGACAGGCGTCCCGGGGAGGGAGCAGGCTCAGGACAGGCCTCCAGTGCCTCCTCTGAACCTCACTACCCCGACTACAGCAGCGCAGTGGGAAGCGCCTTAGCTCCTACCCCTTCTGCTTGCCACAGCCTGGACAGGACCCGGAATCAAACCACAGGCCTGGGTCACCACTGCCGGCAAGAAGTAGTTCCTCTCCGTCCATGCACCCACGCACACAACCTGGGCCCTCCCCGAGGTACTGGGGGAGGCCATGCCCCTTTTCTGAGTGCCTGGAAGTGACTGCGGGAAGGGGAACAAGTGACCACGCCCTTTTCCGGGGTATAAAAGCGGGGTGCACGCCCGGATTCTGGCAGTGTAGCTGCGAGAACCTTTCCACGCGCACGACCTACGGGGACCGTTTCCGGACGGTTTCTGATTGAGTTTGGCGCTTTTTACCCAAACTTCGGAGGGGCGAAGAGCCTCCACCCACCTCCCTTCTCATGGGACTTTGCGGACAGAGCGCCCCGACCGCCTCGAGCGCTCGAGCAGGGCGCTCTCCAGGAGCCAGGACGGCGTCGGGAACCACACTATGGCTCCCGGACCCCAAGACCCTTAAGTTTGTTTTCGTCATCGTCGCGGTTCTGCTGCTGGTGAGCACCCGCCGCGGTCCCTGGCTGGGGAAGAGCGCACCTGGCGCCGGGAATGGGCAGAGAGAGAGGGGGACACGGCGGGGACGCTTGGCCCGGGTCGCCTGCGGCGGGGCATGCCCGGGCAGGACGAACCCGTCGTCGGAGTCGGGAAGATTGGGGTCCCCTGGCTGGGCAGGAGCGACCCGGCTGCGAGGGAGCAGAGCGCGCGCTCCCCCTGGCTGTCGCGTGAGGCGAGGACCGCACTGAGCTGCCCCGGAGTAAGTTCCAGAATCAACGGAGGGAGGGAGTCAAGATGGAAACTCCGGAGGAAACCTCTGGAAGCCACAGAGCGGTGGCCTCTTTCGTTCGTCCGTTCATTAATAACATTAACCCAGGCCTGACGTGGTGGCTCATACCTGTAATCCCAGCACGTTGGGAGGCCGAGGCGGGGGGGATTACCTGAGGTCGGGAGTTGGAGACCCGCCTGGCCAACTTGGTGAAACCCCGTCTGTACTAAAAATACGAAAATTAGCCAGACATGGTGGCAGGCGCCTGTAATCCCAGCTACTTGGGAGGCTGAGACAGTAGAATTGCTTGAACCCAGGAGGCAGAGGTTGCAGTGAGCCGAGATTGCACCAATGCACTCCAGCCTGGGCAACAGCAAGACTCTGTCAAAAAAAAAAAAAAAAAAAATTAACCCTATGTTTACACTGTTAAACGTGTTCCTTGGAGATCCGTTTAACAAACAGCCGGTGAAAAAGCTTTCCAACGCTTGTGTTTGCAACTTTAATTTCCTCTAGAGCCCTGAAAGTGGCAGGAAGCTGTTAACCAGTGTCTGCCACTGTCACCCGTGTGTCCCCTCTGCATCCCACAGACAGGACCGCGGGCTGGCCCCTTCCTTCAGCATAAAAGGTGTAAAGTTCTCGTTGTGAGTTGGCTTTGGAAACTGAGATTGGTGGTGGGGTGCAGAGTAAGGACGTATTATAAGTAAAATGTGCAGACTGCCAGGACTTTCTCAGAGTGATTGACGTTTCTGCCAACAGCACTTTCTAAGGTTCCTTACATAATACCAAAACAAAAGGGGGAGGATAAAACAAGATTATAGGAACTATGAGAGTTTGCATGTTTTCTTTCAACAAATTAATACTAAATTCAGAAAAGCAGTAACATTTTCACCTCTCAAAAATTATACAGCCGACTTCTGCAATAGTTTATAGTGGGTGGACCTACCTGAGGTAGGTAGAAGAATGGCTGTGTTAGGACAGTGGACCTGAAGAGAGAATGCGTGGATGACCAGTGTAGACAAGGCCAGCAATGTGAATCTCAGTTTTGGGAATGTGAACTCTATACATCCCAAAGGGGGCTTTGTTCCCTCCATCAGTCTTGCCTTATCAAATGCATTTCAATGTGCAATCGCTCTTTAAAATTTTGGAGCTAACACAAATCACATTAGATGTTTTATGGCAGTACATTCAGATTGATCTTCCTTTAAATAAGGGTATTTTACTGCATGGGTAAGCCAAAGGTTAATTCACTGTTACTGCCTAGGGGCAGCTTGTTAGATCCTACCCTGACTTTGCCTTTGCTAATTCCAACAATGTTCTACTAAATACCCTTGTACGTATTGTGTGTCCACATATCCATGTGCACCAGCTTATTGGGCAACTCCTTAGAAGTATAATTTTACTTCTACTTCTGTGGGATAAATGATTTCAGAAGTTTCTTTAGATGTTCACAGATTTTGCTCCAAAAGACCATTGAACTCAGCATATACTCACACCTAGTCCACAAATGTGCCTGTGTCCCTACACCCTTGCTACACTTAGCTTTCATTTTTTGCTAGTCTAGGAAGTAAAACGTGATTCATCACATTGCTGTGTACTTTCATTCCTTCATGGTATTAGGAATTTTCAAGGATACAGGAGTTCTTTGGTACTAGGAGTACCAAAGTACCAAATCTACTCCCAGTAGATTACTGGGGGATCCAGATGAGACAGCAGGGGAGGGTGGCAGGGAAGACCGAATTCCCAGCTATGCACCTGGGAAACCATGGTCAGCTGGGGCAATTGCCTGCCACCCACCATGCCTGTGAATGGAGATAAGGTCTCCGTCCTCAGGCTGTCAGGAGGACATCAGATGAGCCTGGAGCTGAGCTCAGTTCCTGACCCCAGGTCCTGGGTCTGTCAACGTTGGACTGGTTCAATCTACGTGACAGGTGCTTCTACCCCGCCCCTCTCTTTATCAAAGTAGGAATTGAATAGATCCAATGGTTCAGAATCTCAGACTCTGAGGCTCTCAAGGACTCCTGAGATTGGAGGCTGGGAACAGCTGGGCCCTGCTGTGCTTCCCCTCCAGCTCTGTGACACTGGTGTGGCCCCAGCTCCTGCCTGTAAAGTAAAGAGGAGATAAAGATCTTCAGCAGCCCTGTGTAAACCTCAGAGGGCTGTGTTACCAGGTGTGGGAGGATGAATTACATCCTCAGGGCTGGTGTCAGTCATTTTGGACTCTGGATCCCCAGGGCATATGTCCTCCACCCAGCAGAGGCTGCACCTGCTCCTACCTGCACCTCAGTACCGGCTCCCTGAGCTTAGGGCAGAAACTTTTGAAGACTGGAGTGGAGCACCATGCGGAGGGGCCATCAAGGAACAGAGGAGCCAGAGTTCAAGTGAGGACAGTGATGGCACTGCAGGGCCACAGCCTGGTTTACCTGCCACGCTTCCAGTTGTCCTTCTGGTGGGTGCCCGGCCCGGGTTGGAGTTCGAAGAGTGAGCAGGAAAGGTCTCCATCCAGGTGACTGCAGATGGCTGCTCACCCAGCCCCTACTGAGAGGCCACGGTCCCGGGTCCGGTCCTCTGTCCTGTATCCGGGAGTGGCAGGACAGCGAGGCTCTAACTTCCAGGTTGGGGATGGGGGTAGTGGGGACAGTGCCATGCCCCGAGCCTGTGCTGTTGGGCAGCTGGTGTCCTGCTCCCAGTCAGTGACTGCACATTTTCAGGTAGTGGGTTTTCCTAACAACCTGGGGAGATGACGGTAGATCATTTTCCCTCTTTTACAAGTGACAAAATGAGATTCAGGAGCAATGTCTCCAGCGTTTTTGGCCTCACCTTCTGTATAATAGCAGCCATATTTGGGCCTCTGCAGAGCTAGAGTTCTCTGAGCAGCTGCTTCTCTGATCTCTGTCCTGCACTTGGCCTCTGGGAGCTCCTGTGGGTCCTCAGCAGAGTCCACAAGGCTCTTGGGGGTCCCCTCTCTGTGCCACAGCCTGGAGCCTGTCCTTAGGATGTAAGCTGTGCTCACCTCATGGGCTTGGGGGGAAAGTGATTGACCCAGGAAATAGACAGTGAGCCCTTTATTGTCTTTGGAGTCTGGTGGAGCCAGGGAGGATGGACGAACCCCATGTGAATCCTGCTCCCTGGAGCCCACGGTGTGGTGGGTGAGGTGACACCAGGAATCATATAACTAAAGGAGGTACAGTGAGGGAGGCATGAGATCACCACCCTTGCCTGCCCCTCCTCCAGAGATGCCATGCTGGTACAAGGCCATAGGATGTGGTATTGTTGGCCTGGAGGATGGTGTTTGGATAGAGTCACCATTGAGTCATAGAGGAAAGCTAAGCTCCCCTTTAAGGGCTTTTTTTTTTTTTTTTTTTTTTTTTGGCTGTGCCTGAGAATTAAATAGACATAAGACAGGTACACAGGATAAAAGCACATACTACTTTTTTTTTTCTTGAGATGGAGTCTTGCTCTGTCGCCCATGGTGGAGTAACAGTGGTGTAATCTCAGCTCATTGCAACCTCTACCTCCCAGATACAAGCAATTCTCCTGCTTCAGCCTCCTGAGTAGCTGGGATTACAGGTGCCCACCCTCGCACCTGGCTAGTTTTTGTATTTTTCGTAGAGATGGAGTTTTGCCATGTTGGCCAGGCTGGTCTCAAACTCCTGAGCTCAGGTGATCCACCCGCCTTGGCCTCCCAAAATGCTGGGATTACAGGCATAAGCCACCATGCCCGGCCAACACACACATTTATTTAATGCAAGTTTTACCTGGTGCAGAAGAAGCAGTGAGAGTCAGTTACTTATGTACTGAATTAGACCAAGTAACTTGTGAAGAAGCAAGTAAATATGTGGAAGCTAAAAAGATGAGTGGTTCTATTCTAACAAGGTCTGCACAGTACTCTCTTGGCCTTGACTTCTATCCTTAAAAATAAGGAGATTTCTTGGGGGAACCGCCCCCAATATTTCAACGTAGGTTCTTCCTATTTTCCCTGAGTGTCAGTCGGTCTGAGAAATAAAGAGAAAGAGTACAAGGAGAGGAATTTTACAGATGGGCCTCTGGGGGTGACATCACATATCAGCAAGTCCATGATGCCCCTGAGCCACAAAACTAGCAAGTTTTTATTAGGGATTTCAAAAGGGGAGGGGGTATACAAACAGGGAGTAGGTCACAAAGATCACATACTTTAAAGGGGCAAAGAAGCAGAGCAAAGATCACATGCTTCTGAGGAAACAGGACAAGGCAAAATCAGAAACTCCTGATAAGCGTCTATGTTCAGCGGTGTACATATTGTCTTGATAAACATCTTAAACAACAGAAAACAGGGTTCGAGAGCAGATAACCGGTCTGACCTCAAATTTACCAGGGCTGGTGTTTCCCAATCCTAGGAAGCCTGAGGGTACTGCAGGAGACCAAGGCATATCTCAGTCCTTATCTCAACCGCATAGGACAGACACTCCCAGAGCAGCCGTATATAGACCTCCCCCCAGGAATGCAGTTCTTTTCCTAGGGTGTTAATATTACATTCCTTGCTAGGAAAAGAATTTAGCGATATCTCTCCTACTTGCACATCCGTTTATAGGCTCTCTGCAAGAAGAAAAATATGACTTTATTCTGCCTGACCCCCACAGGCAGTCAGACCTTGAGGTTGTCTTCCCTTGTTCCCTAAAATCGCTGTTATTCTGTTCTTTTTCCAGGTGCACTGATTTCATATTGTTCAAAAACGTATATTTTACAATCAATGTGTAC